CTCTCTCACCAAGGCATGTGACAGCAGCACACTGAGGAGAAGGCATCTGATACCGAGAGGACAGCAAGCAAGCAGGCCACACATACAGACAGACACGACACAGCAAGATAGTAGTAACCCTCATCCGACACACGATCAATGTGTCCTGGCATCTCAATCACAATTGACATGACGAACGACAAACACCCTACCCTAATCAATAATAACATAACATACGCCAGATGTATAGCCCAACTCTTTGAAATGAAATCTAGTTGGTTTTGCTGTAGATACTGCTACTGCTAGTTCTGTGATAGTATCATCTAGAGAGAAGGAAATGATTAAAATGAAAGTTTGTATTTAACCATGCAACATCTGACAATAATGAAAAATAAATATATGGAAATAATGCACATGCAGCATATGAAACTTCAGAAGATGACAAGGACAATATAATAATGCGTTCCAAATAACAATACAGCATGTGACAACACTAGCAAGTTCTACAATGATGTTGATTTCAAATACTAACAAATATTCCAAAATGTAATCGCATCAAATATATATGAATTGGGGATTAATCGTTAAGACTTCAAGATCTCAAGGCCTATAGGTATAGGTTATAGGATTCGAGATTTGTTTCAGAAATAAAATATAGTTCTGAAAATGAATTGCTGATATGACACTCTTCAGGGTTCACGAAGAATCAGTGCTTCTCTTTCCTCACCCACACCAATCCACTTCACTGGTACTCCGACATACTGCTCAATGAATTCAATGAAAATTCGACAATTTTCTGGTAATTCATTAAAACTCCGCATAGCCAATATCGGTGTGTTCCATCCTTTGAATGTACGGTATTCGACCTCCACTTTCTCCCAGTCGGAAGCTTGTGCTGAAAGAACGGTCAATAAAACAAATTACTTGATGACGTATTCGAAAGTTAGACAAAGTATGTTAAAGAATGAAATGAAGTTTGGCAGATGAACTTACATAATGCTTATGTTACTCTCAGTTTAGTAAAGAACTCCAGTCCCAGAAAAGTAATGAAAAGAATTGCATAAACAATGCTTACACGGAGGGGATTTCAGCAATTCTTTATCCAACCTGTAGGCAACACCTGCCTTGATTACATCAAATGTATCCAGGACATCCAGTTTTGTCAAAGCAATGCTTAAAAATCAAAAGTAAATATAGTATAGGACAAAAGCTTTTCAAATATTTCTCAAGACTTCTCAAATAATTCCAGAATTACATACTCCGTGAATCCATTAATAAGATGTGCTCGCTTTAAAAGGACTAAATCTATCCAACCGCATCGTCTCTTTCGACCCGTCGTAACACCAACCTGAAATTGGGAACCCACATCAAAATAATGAAATAAATCAATGTCCTGACCGATTGTGCAAGCATCTTTTTTTCAGTACGAATTTTCAGTTTTCCAGAAAATATAATCCAAACTCTTTTTTTTTTTTTTTTGAGAAACTTAAACCACGATATGTAACAATATACAATTAGCAATCAAAAGCAATTCATATTATTAACGGACCTGACTAATAATGAATATATCAGGACATTTAATTGGTAGTTATAGTTATATTTCCTCTCATGTTGTAACTTTATTCAATTGTCCCAAAAAGAGGCTGTGGTTGGACAATGGTGTTAAGCTGGATGAAGGACCAGAATATTAAAAATGTTACAATTAAGGGTATGGAATATTCGATAACAGGATAATGATTTGTACTTCATGTCCTATTCGTTGTAGCTTATCGCCAATGTCATTTTTCAATTCCGTAGGAAATGGTCCAGAGCCAACTCTAGTAGAGTACGCTTTTGTAACGCCTATCACTCTCTTGATCGACATTGGTGGAAGTCCCAAACCGGTGATAGCACCTCCAACTGTTGCATTTGATGATGTTACAAATGGATAAGTTCCTGGAAACATTAACTAAATGATTAAGCTTTTTCTACAATTTTAGTCTTACCACAAACCTTTCCTTAAGAGCCAACAGGTACTTGAATTTTTTAAAATAGTTGCCGAAAATTAAAACAATCACCGAAATCGATATCCAGCATGGTACCATTTGCACCTTCAACAAGTACAGTTTTTCCACTGCTTCGTAATTCATCCAATGTTATTACCGTATCAGCGACCAGTGCCAATTCATTCAATTTATTCGCGTGCTTCTATGAATGAATTTCAGAAGAAAAATAAAGTTGCTTAATCTCTTTCCATTACTTTGGTTAATCAAATAAAAATTAATAGACCTACCTTGAATTTGATCAACTCGAGATCAACGTCAATCTCCAAATCAGGATACTGCTTCTGATAATATTTAACAAGTTCTCGAAATCTAAAGATTTAATTCGTTAATTAAAACTTCCGTATTTCGAACTATGTAAGATATTTCATTTTAGAAACAAATAATTCGGGTAAGAAAATGTGATTCATAAATATGATACTTTAAAGTAAATCCATCAAAATCGTAAACTAAATCGCCAACTCGGAGACCATTTCTAAAACATTTGCTAGAATATGTTGGTCCAATACCCTTTTTTGTTGTTCCAATTTTACTGAAAAGGAACAGTAATTTTATACTCATAACAATGAGAAAATCCGATAGAAAAGCAACAGCTAAAAAATTAAACAATCAACTTGCAACGCATAGAACTTACTTAATATTCAGTCGATCCTCCGAATGACCATCAACAAGCATATGGATATCACATATAAGATGTGCTCGATCACTGATTAATATTCGTTTTTCCCATCCAGGTATGTTAGTAATTTTGTTGTGATCCAGTTCTTCAAAAAACGAATCTAAATTTACTACTGTGCCATTACCTGAAAATCAAAATGCTGAATCAACAGAATATCTCAATAAACACACGCTGGAGAAATGTAATTACGACTGAGCATAAACTACGCATATGTCATATTGTTTTGAACTACAAAGTATCGTCTTAGATATGGTTTCTATTTTTCTAATTCATGATTTCTATCGTCGATGGCAGATAAAAATTAAATAAAATCTTACCAATTATGTTGAAACACTTTTCAGCAATGATTCCTGAGGGTATAATATGAAAGTCATATTTTCGTCCATTTGCAACAACAGTGTGACCTGCGTTGTTACCACCTTGACAGCGTGCAACAACTTGTACCTAAAACTTTCCAACTACTTCTTGTTTAAATCAGCATAGCATATTATGGAAAACAGCAAAAAGAGAGCGCATAGAAAACCACTTTATGATTTATAATTCATGTCAACACACGCACATTGAAGATCACACTTGAAGCTTTTGAGAAGTCATAATCATACGATATCAATCCTTAACAAATCCATATAATCATCTTAATAACTCATATGATGGGGATTCACCTTATCTTTCGCAATCAGATAATCGACAATTTTTCCTTTACCTTCATCACCCCACTGAGCACCTAACAACACGGTCACGGTCCCCTTCGGTTGCTCCTTTAACATTCTAGATGACCCTAAAACAAAAATGACAGTCTTTTGAAAAAATAATTCCCGTAACGAATAACGCATAGTGCAAGAAACATGCATAATGACTGATTCCTTAATAAACATCTATCTAGAATCAGGGTATTTATGGAAACAGACGACACTACGATAATCTTACAAAACCCGTTAGTCATTATCAGTGTCAAGAGAAATAGATATAGCAAAAAAGCTTAAATATAGCAAATATTCCCAGGAAGAAATTCAATCACGAAATTCGTTTATATATCACAGAAGGAACTCAACTTCCATCTTCTACTTCCTAAATTGTGTTAGTAATGATTTCAGAAAACCTCTTTCCCATTACATTTAGAGTTTTACATTCCTATAAATCAAAATCAAATCACCCGGGATTATTGTAAACACATTAAGAGAAATTAACATAAACATTTGAAAAAAAAGAGAGAAGATTTATTCTTTTTCTATCTAAAACTAAATATTCAAAACAACGAGAAAGAGTACAGTACCTCAGAAATGGAAAAATGCACTAAAAATTGTCATAAAACGTATGAATTCCAAGAAGCTATAAACTATATAGAATAATCCCACATTTTTACAGCTTTAAAAATTTTAAAAGTCACTTAGAAGTTTCTTTTACTTAACACAATAATGAGTGAAGAATTTCATTTATGCCCCTTAAAATATGAGTGAGAATACTGTACTTGAGAAAAAGTACAATTACACAACAAAATATCTAATCATATTCATATATCCGCGCAGCCTGCATAAAGTATATAAGTGATCTTCCTACTTTATTGCAGAGCACTTCTTAAGAATGAATCAGAAAGATATACTATATAAGCACGCATAAGAAAGGAAAAATTTTTTCTGATTAAAATTCAAATGTTAATTTCCAACAACTTATTCAATTTGAATAAATTCCGTTTTAATAGTCATCCATTTTCTTGCTAATAACCTTCTGTTCATAAAAAAGTTTTGAAAGACGTTAAAAGGATACCACAAAGCACGTGAATTAAATATTTCACATGATAACTTATCATTTAGAGACAACACATCATAACGCACTAAACAAAAAACAATGAAAAACATACAGTCGATCATCATGCAATTTTCACGAAAATTCCCCAAAATAAAATGACAAAATTAAAATCGATTTCTAAAATATTCTACGACTACATAATTACGTTAAGAATGTTAAGAATGGTGAACTCAAAAATAGTTGTCGACTTGTGAAGCCTTTACAAAGTGTTTTTCTGAACTGATTGAAGATAAGCATTTGAAATTTTACAACAATAAAACAACCTGAAATAGTAGTTTTGTGCCACTCAGAACAAAGTGGATAAAAATTTTCCTGATGTATTGCAGTTAATTACAATAACACTGAAAGAAAAACAGTACTGTCCTTATATAAATCCAATAAAATTTTCAAAGTTCCCTAACTCTTGAACACTAAACTTTTATAAAATTACATAACAGCGGTACCAATATAATCTTTTCATGTAAAATACAAACGGTGTTTCTCATAAAACTTCTTTAGCTTTCACGTTTTAGAGGACTGTAATAAGGATGTTTACGAATCCGAGGTGGTTCAGTCTCTGCGAAAAAGCTCTCAATAATGTAATCTCGATTCCTCTGACAAGCTGGTCCACACATTCGTGAACCACACTTCTCACATGGATAATGGCAACCTAAACATACACATTTAGAAATAGAAACTTCATACATACGACTACATTCTCCATAAAAATCGTTGAAATAGATAAAAACTAAGGTCATCATAAATAATACCTCTCACCAATTTTAGAAAGAACAGTAAAGTGATAAATCATTATTTCCTTTTTTTTCATTCCGAGTTTAATTCAAGCATAAAACCTGATTTTAAATTAAAAACTCTGAAAATGCTTACTCACCAGGACAGGATATCCGCAAACAATCGCATAATTTGACACAGTGACCATCGACCCTGATAAGATACCCCTCCTCGTCGTGATGCGGAATGTAATCCGTCATACGATCGACAGAAGTCAGTACTGAAATTAAAGCAAAAATATCCTTCGCGATGATGAGATTTTTAGAGCAACTGCAAATGATCTGAAATTCTCCTATTAAAACGAATATTGGCGAAAAATGGCAGCCGATAGATAAATAAGTAATGAAAAGGAGAAGTAACTTTCTCTTCAATATTAAAATAAAATGCGAAACACATAAAGCTTTATGATCTTCGGTCGTAATGTTAGATTCAGAATTAAAGAATAGCAATATGTACATGTGGAAGTAAGTAACAAAGAAAAACAAAGAAACTGTAATATATATGAAGCAATAAAAAAAAAAAAAACAAGTTAATAAGTGACATCAATATTTCTAGGTGGTCTAAACTTTATTTTTCATTGATTTTTCATTGATAGTAAAATTTTTTTTATTTTTGACAGCTTGGGAGAAGAAAACCTTTGAAAATCACAAGCAAACCTTTCCGATGTCTTGATGATCTACGAACTCCGTGTCTATCATACAAGGTTTCTTCTGTGGAAATGAGAGCTGCCTCCCCAGGATTGATAAATCTGAGATTCCTCAATTCTCGATGCATTTGTGGCTGTGATAAATTTCCTGAAAATATTTTCCGATCTTTTTTTCTGAAAGTAAATTTCCTGAACATCTCTCTGGAAAATAAAGCAGCAATTCACTTAACACTTTATCTGCTACGTTTTAACAAGCAAAACAAACTGTTATGTGCAATAATGAGAAATAATCTACCAACAAAAAACAGAATCGACAGAAAGTGGAATAAAGGTCAAGTGAAACACTTCGTCCCACTCTTTTTTTTTTTCAGTTACAACAAAACATATAAAAATCTTGTGGAATGCGCAGTATTTTCCGTTGAAAAAGAATTGTAAAATGTGATGGAAATAAAATTTTCAGCAGCCGACAAATAAATGTCATTATATACCTAGCTCGGGAGTTGGCAAAGTCGATCCAGTTGAGAAAGAGTTTTTTTGTTGTTCACAAGTTCCATCCTTCTCTCCGGTCTTACCCATAACTGAAAAATGACATGAAATGAAAAGTTGCAACTATTCTAAACGGTAATACATGATACTCACCCACTTCTATTTCAAAGATCAAAAATCAACCCAGAAAAATTAGATTTGAAAGGACTGTTATAACAGTAAAATAGATGAGCTTGTGATGCAAGCCTGTCATGCAATGATTTACCCAGTATAAATAGATCGATCCGATCTGGAGTTCCTGAATGACATCAAAACCTTCTTATCACCAAGTGAAAGTTTTCAGCTGGGAAGCCATCATTACAATCCTACCTATCTATTCGAATTCCATTCTATTTTAATACAGGTTCTCTCCCTCTCTCCTGCTCTCTCTACCCGATTTACTATCTTACAGTATATAATCGCCCAGTTTGAAATCTCCCCATTAGCAAAGGAGGACAAATCATGCAAGTAATATGTTTACCCCAAAAATGAACAAAACTAATTGATATTTCTCCCTTTCTTCCTTTTCCGTATGCTACATGTGAGATTTTCCGGACACCATTCTCGACTTGAAAAGCACAGCAGTTATGCTAACGTGTGAACAAGTAACAAGTCTTTGGTCTATTTCGGAAAGCTGGTGTTCGGAACAGATCCTCAATTATCTGATGTGAGAGAATCAGGAAACGGTGATGTTGGGCAGTTTACACTGAATATACTATTTGAAATTTCTTTTCTCAATTTGTCCTTTGATGAAAGACCAAATTACTCCGGATCCGGAATTAAATCGAAGGTCTATTGCAACGGTATTCTCCTTCCTGTCCAGCTCGTGATATGCCAATCCTTAAAGACTGAATCTGTGTACTTATCATTATCATTGTCATTAATTATTGGCATCGTTTGTTTCGTCTTTCTTTTAAATGAACTCAAATAACAAAAGTAGTTGGATGATGTACTGATGTACGGAATAATTGAATATGAGTTGAGCGATCTTTTTCCACGCTTATGTTATACGTGTGAAGCGAAGGTAGTATATCAGATGTTAACAGAAGTGACAAATGAAATGGTCAAAACTATGAAATGGCAATAACGAGTCGACGACCATTATCGGCTCAGTTCACTTCGTTATTCAATGATGGTATCCATGACATGTCCCCAAAAGGAAGAGCTCACGACTACATTGTCAAACCTTAATTTGCTATGCTGTAGTATTCATATATATGTATGATACCATAATCTTAACTGTACTATCGTTTCTCAACTCAAAAACAAAAGTGACGTCGAAAGCTCAAATACATTTCCATTTCCTTATGACCTTTCTGTCCAATTAATTTACAAATTAGGCAATCAATAATTAGCTTTATCTGAGTGGAACGACAGATTAGTAATTTCATAAACAATTTGTTAAAATTAAAACGAAATACAGGAAGGAATTTACAAAGGTTGAAAGAAAACTATAATCATTTTCAGAACTGGTAATTCGTTACAGCCGTCTATCAAAGTAATTCGCTGTGCCACCTATGTGTGTATGTATGTATGTGTATACGACACTATGACCCGAACCTTGTTGTCGTTTTCTCCCAATAAAAAATCGGAGTTGCAGGTTGCCACATCTTTTCATCCATCCGAATCATCCCACTTTTATCCAATAATTTGCCCACCTTTTCAAGAATTGTTCAAGTTTGGGAAAGGATATATTCATCGAGATATAATCGAGATCAGATTCTGAGTTAATCACAATGTGCAATGTTGATGCATGAGATGTCATGTCATGTCATGTCATGTCATCCACATCACAGTGGATCACCATCATTACTGAGCGAAACAATCCGGTATTGCTCTGGTTGAGCGCCAACCCCCTCCGTTCCTTCAAATCCTTCCCAAAATCCATCCTCCAATCCGCAAAGCGAAAACCATTTTGGCTGATTACTGAAGTCTCTGGAATGCCGGCATCATTCGTCACCACTCTTCTCTTTTCCTTCTCTGTGTCAATTTCGCTCAGATCCTCCAATGCCCAGGTTATATTCATATTATAATCTCTTATTGAATCCTTATTCCTTCTCTTTCTCCTACCCATCCCTACTTCTTCTTTTCACTTTCACGCATCGGCGCACAAAAATTTTTCACACTATTTTAATTTTTTGGACTGATCGTTGGAACTGATTTGAGTTATTGAAACATTTTCAGTCAGATTAGAATCAATTTAAGCTAAATATGATAATTAAATTCTTTTCTGGGAAGATTACATGGACTTTGTTTTTGTTCGAGATATCATTCAACTCAGAATTGGATTAATACATCATTTTCTGATTAAGAATTCCACAAGCCACCATTCGTCAACAACAAAAAAAGCTATCTCGTGAAATTTTCACACATATCTGAATTCCTGGCTTGAATCTGTCATTTTGTTCCGGCACCATTTGTTTTCCCGAATGACTGGAATAGCTCTGAAGGACTGATATCAATTAAAACGAATGATGTAGACTTTGCAGAGCAACAGTGGTAATCCATTCTTGAACTTTCTATCAAATGATAACATTGGACGGTTGACGCAAATGGCAACGGAAATTGTTGCTTCCGCTGCAAAGCATTCCGCTGCAGCTAATATAGATGCATTGTATGATTTCCTTCTTATCAATCTAATACTAAATCTCTTGAGTTCTTGGCTTGAATCTGTCATTAAACTGATTATTTGATTTGACCTCAACAATTTCAATTAAAACGATAGGTTTGAAGAGAGAGAGGGAGAAAGAGAGAAACATAGACTACTGCAAGCTTAGAACTTATAAGAAATGTAATCTTCCACGTCAAAATACAAATGGCTGCTGTTTTAGAACAAGGCCTGGCCATCCGGAACCAGGACCTATATTACTCAATTCTCGACCATCTGAAATGATCGGCCAGTCTATAACAAATGCTATTTCACCAGCTATCACCAAATTTGCTGAAGTTTCTGCGATTGAAAATCGTGGTCTAATGTCAAGACAACAGCAAAGAAGCATTCATGCTGAGTCAAATAGTGGTACCAAATCACTGATGGATATTGCAGGAGCATTTTTAGGATCTTCAAGGCCTGTTAAATCATCGACAACTCTTGGAGCACAAACATATACCAAAGATGCAGATATCAACTGGTTACCGACCATTCGAGAGTTAGCACCTGGCGCTAACAGTAATTTTGGTATACCGAAGGGCAGAGGTTCGTCAACGATCAGTGTCAAGTCTTTAATTGTTTTTCAGTTATAATTTTAAAGTAACAGTCACTTCATTTATTTATCAAAGCACTGAAATGCTTATTCAATCGGAGCATTTTATTTTATTTCATTATATTAATAATTATCGCTATAAATTGTTTCATTTGTCATAGATCTTCGATTCTTAATTAATGTTTCCAAAAAGAACTTCTTTTTTTAAACTGATGCCTTAGATACTTCTTAAAAATATTCTGAGTGGTGAAATTAATCTTTCAAATCGGAAATCGAAGAAATTTGTTACATGTTTATAAACAGGTTTCATTTGAAAGTTCTCGCTATTGCAGATTTCTTTCCAGGTTGTTTGCCATTTTTAAGTGAATTCATGAAAATAGTGTACGGGAATTGCGTGAAAGTAGCAGATGAAAAGGCGTGGGACCTTTGGGGTAGTCAAATTACCAATGCTCTTTTCGGTGGTAAAGTTGATTTCATCGGAGCTACGTGAGTGTGCAGATAAGTGTTAATAAAAAAAAAAAAAAAATTAGATGCATGAGCATTTAAATCTCTCAGATTTAGACAGAAAACACTAACTCGCTAAGAATTCCTATTGTGAATTACTTACCTTATTAGTTGGTTGCTTTTTGCTACATGTTTATGACGTGTCGAAGAGAAATCTATTTATTTACTGGTTGCTGATATTTACTTGCTCGTTTATGAGACTTACTTTATTTGTTGCAATTTTATAAGGGAATAATTATGCTCGTCTTTGCTAATTTTATTATATGAAATGAATTTGCTAAAATTTTGATAATTTTCAGGAAGGAAACATGTAAACGAGGTGCAGAACGACAACACTGTGGTCAGTTGAGAAAGGTAATCAGTGAATGTGATATCTTGGGATCACTTCAAATCGGCATGGAAATGCAAAGAGCAATTCAACGGTGTGAAGAATTTTCGGGTGTTATTGATCAGGTATTCAGTAATCCTGTTTGTTTTTAAGCCTCTGACATATTATCCCAGCAGCATATCAAACTTATTATAAAAGGGAAGGTGGATGAAAGGTCTTCCTTTTCTCCTTATCATTTTTTTAAAAAAAAAAAAACTTTTTCATTTCAGAATCCGATAGAAGTAATCAATCAAGTGAATAGTATTATTGGGGGTGAATTTGCTCAAGGATTTTTGCATAAATTTCTTGGTTAATTCTACTCGTTTGTAAGCTCAATGATCTCATTCACCCATTTTGTTGACTTTCTGAATTTAATTATATGCAACGTAGTTTTTTTTTTTCTTTTTGTGAATGAGAAATAATTCATTCAACCATTGATACTGTACCAATTTCTGCTTAAAACTTCTTTGCGTCATTTTGCCGTTGCGATCAGTTAAAAAATAAGGGTCGTAAAATTTCTAGAAAAACCAATTCAAACATTCAAACATGTTTATATCTTCCCATTTTGGAGGATTTTAGGATCATCTGGGAATAAAATAACTCATGATGAGTTATTAATGCATTATTTTTATCAATATAAGAACGTGAAGCTTATTAAAAAGCTTCAAAATTTCCATATAATTTCAAAAAAAAAAGGACGTGAAATGGCACATTTATATGACTGTAATAATTTTCAATTAAGTTGAACTGTACATTTCCTTTAAAAATCCTGGATTTGGGTTAAGGATGCAAAAAAAAGAGAAAAAAATTAAACATACAATAAAATCTAATTGAATTTGAAGGTATATAATAAAATAAAAGATGAGAAATGTCAGATCTTATTTGCCAAAAAAGAAAATAAAGAAGAGCAAAATTTTGACAAATCGAAATGAAATTTTGTGACCAATTCAATCTAAAGAAAATGGTTAGTACACACAAAAATGACTGATTAAAGTAAAATAATAATAATATCACTTGATTTAACAAGTAAGAAGAGAAATTCTATGAAAAAATTGTTAATAAATGCATTGATTTCAAACCATTCCGATATATGTGAAATCATAAACATAGCATGAATTTGTTTTATATTACATATATGTTTTGAAGAATATAAAGATTGGAAGGTTAATGAAAAGTCTGAGACTTTACCGCTTCACAGCTGAATAAATCCTGGCAGATAGAAAAGAAGATCCTCTTAATTCTTTTACTTAATCATAATCTTAAAGCTGTTTATGAAGTTAATATATAAATCTATGATAACTAAAACTGATAAAGGCAATATTTTCATCCTTTTCTCAATCATTGCCTTACTGCTTTACATCAATCATCCTTTGGCATTACTCTGTGATTTCCAAATTAATCTATGGCTGCTTTTGCAATAACAACCGGCCTCATAGTAGCCATATAGTGGTCAAAATTACTTTTGATTATTTCCATGTCAACTGGGTAAGTCCATTTTCCGCATCAAAATGTCCTTTTTTTCTTTGCAAAAACTGAGACTTTGAATCCCAAAGATTAATTTCTTCTCTCATTTCTAGAAGATCAGCTTTTCGTGATATATTATTATCGTAAGTTCAAATCTCTATAAGAGTATCATGAAGTCAATTCACTAGCCTACGAAATTATTGGAGAGTGAGCGTCGGTCCTCATTATGACAAGAAATATAATCTGTTAGGTGATCTACAGATATTATTAATGGAATTAGAATAAAAATACTCTAGCAATGATGAATTTTTAACTAATTTCAAGCGATTTGAAGTTTTTCAATAGCAAAAACATTGTTCAGAAATCAGAGAAAATAACTGAATAATAAAAAAGAGAAGTAACATTTCTTTTAATATAGAAATAATTTGGAATAAAATTTGGAATATATCACAAAATAAAGTATTTCTTTCTTTGATATTTTGTTGATGCAAGAATTTTATGTTTGATAAGATTTATTCTACTTATTGCATTTATATGGCGCATTCTGAATCATTGCATTCAATGACTCTTCTTCAGTTGAAATAACAAAAACTTTTTTCTGATAACTGTCATTAATTTATATAATTATAACCAAAAACTGAGTGAAGCATTTTCAGAGCGTAAGAATTTATTTTTTATTTTGTTTTTCTATCTCTTTCATTTCTATTTGTTAAATTTTCCAGGTCATCACACTTTTTTAACCATGTTATTTTTCTTTTCGAATTTTAATAAAACAATTAACTGTGAACGTTAATTAAGTGAGTTGATTTTATTTTCATTTCCATTCTCTCTTTTTTTTGCACAAAATTTCCTACCAATTTTGTCTGGAATAAAGTTAAATGCTCTGAAACATGGAATGACAATCTTGAGTTCAACTCCACTTCATTCATTGTTAAATTTAAGTATTCCTAAAAATCGCAGTGACTAATTCATCTGCTCTAATATAGCAAAACAAAATGCTAAATTAAAATTACTTATAATTATTGTGGAAGATTTTTTTGTATGTGTTTTTTGATCTGTAAATAACATTTGATTGAATTTGGAGTAAAAAGTGTTATTGTTAATAGCAAATGATTGCTACCAATTTTATTCAGCAGACAAATTTGGATATAAATAATTTCCTCTAAATGGTCGCTATGTTATGCAATATTTCAATATTGATAATAACTTAATATTAATGAAATTTAAATGAGCTTCGTTTTCTGCATCATTTTATGAATTATTTAAAGTGAAATATTTGTGAATAACTTGCATATCTACGTTTACCTTCTATTTTTGAACTTATCTCATTCATTCTACTCATACATTTTTTTTTTTTTGTTCAATATTTCATATATATATATATATTTACAATTATATTTTGTGCAAATATTTGCTACGGAAGAAAATTCGAATTTTAGGAAGCTTTTCGTTTTTCTTTATATGGCGCATTCTGAATTTCTATTCATCATTGCATTCAACGTTTCTCTTTCGATTGAAATAATAGAAAATCTTTCCCTTATAATTTATGTTTTCCTTTTTGAATTTTTTCAGCATATCATAAGATTAGCAAATCAGTGATTTTGTTTGTTGTATTCCTTTACAAGCAAATATTACAATTTAATTTATGGCTGTAATTTAAAAATCTCTCCAAATTATGTTTCACTTTTCATTTTGAAGCTGAAAAAAGAAAATAAAGATCATTGGCGTGCATTTTTTTTTTTTAATTTTTAAACTAACTATAACCGTAATTGAAAATATTTTGTAATTTTTTCAACTAAAAGCACTTTAGTTTAAATTTTACATTTTCAAAATAAAACAGTGAAGTAGAATGGACAATGAAGCTATTTATTTATGAGTATATATGGTTGTCTCCATCATCCGTACTAGTTTATGAAAAATCAGATAAGGCGGAGTTGTCATATTTCACTGCTATCAGAAGTTTTAGGCCACTAAGTTGTCTTAATACTCCGTGGTGACAGTGTCAAATTTATTTGCTTTCTTTTTTTCCCTTTGATATCATATTTCAATGAATGTGTCATAGAATGCATTATTATCCCACTATTTACTGAGAAAATTTCAAAAGTCGTATCAAAAAACAGGTTTTAAGCTTAGAATAAATAAATTTTTTAGTTCAATTTTGAAATGGCAAAACTTTCATCGGCTTTTAATCTTTTATTTTGAAAGAGATCTATTCTAATATTAATCAAAAAAAAAAAATGAACACATATTTAATTTCATGCTATATTCTTCTGAATCAAATTTAGAAACAGATTAAAGCTTGAAACCACTGTTATCGTTTTCTTATTTGTATTTGATTGAAAATTTCTGATTCAAGTTTAAGTGAAGGTTTTTGCTTGCTGTTTATATTTCGGATCAAATTCTTGAAGATTCAGTTATTAACAGAATTTACGAAATATTTAGTTATTAATTACACAGACTATATACTTGTTTTAGTTTTTAGTGCTAATTAAGCCAAGTAGCTATCAATTTCAGAAAATCTCTGATATTCGTCTTCAATTTCCTTGTTCTTTTTGTTTTATGTTCTTTTTTTTTTTTTGCTCTAAAATAAGAATTGATTTGCTATCATTAAAAGTGAGTATGTTATCAGCATTTTTGATCTGTTCCATTATCACTCTAATTAACGCCGTTTTAACCATACTTTTTCTATAACCATGTCATATTATTACTTACATTCCTACTTATGCAAGCTAAAGATTACAGCAAAGTGACATCATCTTTTAAAAAACAAATTCCCAAAAACACTTAAAATTTAAGAAAAACAATTAAGCATTTTCTTGACATCGTCTGCTTGTGCTTCAGATACTCTCGATAGTTGCTAATAGCAACTAATCAAATAATATAATTTTATATTTGATATATGTCTACATATCACTTTGCTGAATTGCCTACTTATTGTTTCGTGTCCATATCAACGTATTCTGTATTTGCGCAAGTACAATATTTTTTTGATTTCATTGCTTCAACTATTCCGCATTATGAACAGTGACCTCATCGTGAAATTGATAGAAGAGAGCAGTGGAAATGATATGGATAGTTTGTTGGGAGAAAAAAAGTTCAACAAAGTTGAATTTCAAATCTTTACGTCATTCTTTACACACAGTGAAGAAGAGAAAAAATGGAACCTTTTTGTTTTACTCATGGAAAAGTATTTTATAAAGTATATGAGTGATTTTCGGAGAGAAATCTTTCAAAATTGATGAAATGATTGAGTGCCAATTATTGGCTCTTTTTTTTCAATCGCAGAATACTGCCATTGCACTATTCAATGAGAGAGGCAAAAAGGAAGAAACAGCTGAATTATTCAATGTCAAAAAGAGATTTTCAACATCATTTCAGATAGTTATTAGTGTGTGACTTGTTGTAATGTAATTTACATATCTTTCGCATCCTTTTTCTATTTTCTGCAATTATTGATTGAAACGTTTCCATTCTTTCAGTATTTTCTTCCTTCCATTGATGATTCGAGAATTTTTCTGGAAATATTACTTAACATATTGCTGTTGTATTGTTGAATGACTAAGAAAATGAAACGATTTAAAAGAAAAAACGAATCATTAGTTAAACTAAGAATCATTAAAAAAATAATGAAGTGATAACTGATTCAACAGTTATCACTGTTATTCATGTTCAGAAGTACATACGTATGTTCCAGTGTTTGTTGTTTGAAAACTTGTAGTTAATATGTAAAAGAAGTTTAATTTCTTTTATTGAATGCTAAATAAATAATCGATTTTATTGTACTATGATTTTTCTTTATCAGTTTTTTTTCTTCACTTTAACCGTTCAACTGCTCATAATGTCCCTTATATCATTTCAGTACAAAATCTTCACGGCAAGTACTAAATGATTAATTTATTAGAATTTGAACTCTTAGAAATGAAATTTAGCATCCATAACTTTTTTCTGAAAGTTTCAAAAAAAAAAAAAAATTTCAACCTTAAATCCACTTTGGAAGAAAAAAGCTTACGGAAAATATAACTTTGAATTTATTACGTTTTTTTTTTTCTTTTTTTTAGTATAATAATAGCACTTTCTGAGGAAGAAGTAAGCACCAATTGCTTTTCCGATGTTTTTGATGAGATTGCACAGTGGCAAAGGGAGAAGAATGCAAGATAAGAGTAGTAGTGATTAAGAGTAGTGAAATAATTCACGAAATTCGATCTTTTGTTATATTAGAATCTGTCGAACTGAATCATAACATTTTCATTACTTGTTGGGTATTTGACACTTTAATTAGTTTAAATCATTTGATTCGATTAATTTTTGAGATAATTTGAGGTAATTACAAACTTTTTTTTCTCATTTTAACTGATACGATTCTTAAGATTATTAATCACCATTATCATCACTGTTGATGATATCCAATTTATCAATATGAATCGAACTTTACCTATAAAGTAATACTGCAAAAACTTTTTAGCACATTTATTCATTGCTATTGATAACATAATGACTGATATAATATCATAAAAGAAAAGATATTTTCGATGAGATACTAGGTAAAAATTTATTAATTAAATTCCATCATGCCACTGATTCCTATTACATTGAGTGAAATTCAAAAATGATTGAAATGACGGAAATGAGAGTGAAAAACGAATGAGAGAATTATGGTTGATTATTAGGGACACTTCTGGATTGAATTCAAATTAATCTGAGTCAAATCGTCACAATACTCCTTTCTTACCCAGTCGTAGCTTGTCTCTTAGCAACGAAAAGCTTACATACATATATATATATATAATTATGTCCACATTTCCCTCTCCCACTATATATATATATTAATTGTTTGTTAAATTTACTAAATAACTGTAATTTTGTGTTCAACTCATCTACTTAGCATCTATAAGAAGTCACCTCAATTAGTAAATAAGCCCAATTCTAAACACACATTCAGATCTTTTTTGTATGAAAGTTCATTCATGCATTGCTTAATTTAAGTTTTTACTTTACTTACTGCTTCGGCACTTTGTATTTCGTTCCCCAATTGCATTACTTATATTTTTAAGGTCTTTTAAAATAAGTACTGAGTAATGAAATATTACTAAAAATATCAGTTTTCATTTTTATGCTAGAAATATTAATTGCTTATTTCATCTTGTGCATTTCAGATTTCAATCAAGTACTTTCAGCTAATGAGACAAGCATGTATATTTCAATAACGTTTAGTAGCTTATCCCTTTATTTTTAACGCACTTAGTCTAAAGTTAAAAAAATCCCAAAGAATTTTCTATCGCTATAAAACGTTAAATATTTTACAGCAATGGCAAACAAAAAAAGTGTACTCTGATCAATGTAAAAAATTTTAAAACGAGGAATCTACCGGTTGCGTTCATAGTCTCAGTGAAAATTTAAACTATTAACTATTAACCTTTCATCAAATGCTTTGTTCTTAGCCGATTAGACAACAACAAAGTGAATTTACTTTATCTTTAAGCACTTTGTTTGAACTTATTTCAAAATCTAACTTTATTTTCGATTTATCTTACTTCGTGTAAATATGCTAAGCTCCATTTCAGCATAAAAAGTATAATAAAGTGGCTTTTTGTTTGATAATACATTTACGTCAACATATTCTATTAGTCCTCACCTCATTTGTTACCTTAATGTAATAAATGAGAGCCATAATTATTCTCAATAACTGTTAAATTAATTTAAAAAAATCAATTAAAATTAAATTAGTGTTTGCGTATGACATTAACCGAACGATTTGCCTTTAAATTTTAGTAAAATCTGATTTTATCAACCAATTTTTTACACTGATAACAGAACACTTTTATGATAATTACTCAATTTTACTCTTTGTGATATTCGCTTCTAAAATTGCTCTGTTTCGTTGTTCTCGAGAATAATTTTAAAGCAGTTCACTTTTACTCCTTATCAAATCTTCCTTAACTCTTTGACACTATTTATTAATTTTTCAGAAATCTTAACAAAGGTTAAATGTGATGGTTATGGAAAGGTTAAAATTTGGAATGCAATTCCCCTGACTTTTTAAAATATTTCGAACTGTGTTTTTTGTCAGCAAGATTATAGTGGTAAGTAGAACTTACTCTTTCCACTGATATTAGTTGCATGAGTTTTTTGCTGAATTAAATAGATTAGATGTTGATAAATCCATTTTTGTCTTTTGGTTATAAATGAAAGACCAAAGGTTTCTGGATTTATCGTATTGCTAAAATAATGTTTTTAACTCAGTTCAAACAAATTCATTTTCAGAATGTTTTAAATATATGTGAACAGCTAAATACCACTTAAATGTCCAAACTTCATTGTCCTAAATCCTATGGGAAAACTAATTAGTGACGAATGGACAATGAAACAATCCTTGCATATGTGGAAAAGATTGCTATCACTGAAACCAACATTGCAACCGTAACAGCAGTGATAACGGATGATTGGTCACAATGGAAGTGGGATGATGCAATTGTAAAATTTTTTGAAAATTCGACTAATAGCAGCATTAGTGGCAATGATGGTTTTAATGTCACGCCAATAACAACTTCCACAAATTCAACACTTCAAAATTTTTTCAATACAATAAACGATTGGAATATTTTTGGTACGCATTTAGTTTTTTCAAAATTATAGCACAAACTAATTTTTTCGTTTTCATTTAAGTTTTTCTACAACTTATTACGATTTTATTGTTTTCTTGTAATGCTTCGCCAGGAAATCTATGACAAATTCATATTCGCTTTTGCAAGTTTATTTCTTCTGTTTTCTTAAGTTACACTTTAATTTCATTTTCTGATTTTATTTTTTTTACTTTCAAAGACTAATCCAAACGTTCATTTCTATATGGTAATGAAAGTTGAATATGATTCGTTTCTGCAATTGATCTAATATTGTATTCAGGGTTAATCGTATCATCAATAAGAAGCGAACTATATAACTCATTCAAATGATCTCACTAATAACCAATTATCATTATCATTCCCGAAAATCTTAATTAAAATGCATCATCCGCACATCTGCTCATTTGTTCGTTAACTATTCAATCAGAATTATCAGTTATAGCTTCCATATTTGATTTACTTTCTTATTTGATTATGAACATAAAAATTTCGCTCAAAAACATGCATTAACAACAAAAATTTCTCATTATTTTAATATCGGAAAATTATCACTTTATCTTTTTCTTCGCAAAATTTCTGATTATTTTTATAATTTGCCAGTTTCATTTTTTATTTTGCTCATGCAAACAAAGATTTTTATTTCTTTGTTTTTTTTATTTTTACCAAATACAAACCACTGACTTGATCAGTCTATTCATTTGTTACGGTTATGTTTCATAATCTGATCACCTGATTATATTAATGATCAATCTGAATCGCTTTTCTATCGATTTTCTGAAATGTCAACATTATTATCAAATCACAACAAATTTCAATTTACTTCGATTTAAATTAATCTATTTTAGCTAATTGTCTATATACTACAATGTCTTTTAACTTTTACTTATTTTCAGAAGAAATCCCATGGTTTATATGGATTTTGATCGGTGCCGGTACATCAGTAATTCTTGTTGTTTTAATAACTATTATTATTTATCTGGCACTCAGTAAGAAGTAAGCTTTTACTTTGATCTCTTTTCGTATTCTGCACAGATATCTAATTTGATATAATTCGATATAAATTGCCTACAGTGAACAAATTTGGATAGATCTATATGAACTTTTTAATCTAAAAAATTTTATCTTATTTGATTGATTGGTACTGTTAAGAAATTCCAGTAGAAAATCCAGGAGAAGCAATGGAAGTGATCGGGGAAACGCTGATTCTTCTGATAACATATCACAATTTATGTGGCCCAGGTTAATTGCTGCTATTACATTAATACTTTCACATGATTGTTCTACAGTAATAGCAAGTGACAAGTTAAGGATATCATTAAGTATTATTGAGTTCAATTTCATAACACTTTAGAGACTAAAAATGCAGGTGGATGTTATGTTGTCCGAAATCAATTTTCGACAGACAGGAGAATCTCCGAATGATGCGTCAGAATTCCGCAAGTAACTTAGATCCATATCGAAGACCGCCACTACCTCCTCTCAACAATAAAGATATCAGTGGTTTGTTACTATGACACTTTCTGAGAGTATTTATCTGTTTCTTTTGAAGTAATATTATAAATAGCAGAAAAAAGAATTAATTTATGGGACTCTAACACTATTCAAACATATGGCGCAAATGGTCGTAAAAGAAATTTCAGACGACGAATTTCGTAGTAACTTTTTGCTCTCTCGACATATGGAATCGCTGAATATGATAGAACCGCATTTGAATGCACTACCGGCAAAAGCAGAACATATGTTGATTTTATCTGATGCTCAAGATGGAAGTAGTAGTCATTTATTCACAATCAATATGACGGGTAATCGGGGAGTACCGGTAGTACAAAATGATCGAAGAGAGCCGCTTCCGGTATTATCACCTGATTGTTTCAATCACCTGTAATGTAATCTTTTTGCATAAAAATTTTGTAATAACCGAGATTGCCTTTCTTTTGACTCCTCTTTCTTCACCTAAAAATTTCCTTCAAAAATTTTATTCCAGAAATGTCTTAATTAATGCTGAATACTAATTAACCCTAACTTGTTCATCATGTGATCTACTATCCCTTTTAATTCCTACGTTACTTATGTTGATAACTTGTTCATTGATAAAGATCAACAACTCATAATATGAATATAAACTTTTGTCGAAATTTTCCCTTTTTACTGTATCAAATACCCTTTTCCAAATTATTATAAACAAAAATATTTCAACAGACTAATTGTCAATGCAAACAAAGTGAAAAAAAGTTTGATTATTCGTAGTGAACATTGATAACCAACCAGTCAATCAATAGCTATCATTATGAGATCAAGATTATAATCAAGATGAGATCAAGACTCAGATCAAGCATTATTCTGTTTTAAAAACTGCTAAACGGATACCTATTTGGCGGATTGTTTTGAATGAAATATTTATTACAAAACAAGCTTTTTGTCCGATTTTTATAAAGGTCTCCTTCCGGTTATCTTCAAGAGAAGATTTTCTACTTTCCAATGAAAATGAAAACTCAAACATCAAAAAAGAAAGAGATAAAAAATCACTTGAAAATTTATCACTTTTTAGAGTGTTTCTAAAGTAGACATTTAAAAGCAATGAAAGTGATATATTGAAAATATTAACTGTTAAGACCCTCGAAGTTGTATGTTTATGAAATTTAGATCTTGTGGATCGAGTTCAAAGTTCGTACTTCGATATCATGTATTCTAAAATTGTTTTATGATTTCATTTCTGAATGAACTGCGGTAGAAAACAATTATTTCCTGGTCGTACTTTTAAAACTTTGTCTATTACGCAGTGTTAAGGTTATACAATTTCAACAAAAATAAAAATCAATAGTTTAAGTATTTGAAAGTCCAAAATGATTTTCCAAAAGGATTCAAGACTTGTCAAGTGTAAAAAAATGATGAAATATTATCGTTAAAAAATTTTTTTGGCATCGAGAAGGCTAACATTGTGATATTGAGAAATATCCGCTGTGTCTTTCGTTATTTTTTAATACCAAGAAAATCACAAATTTTGGTTGAACAATTTTAAATTTGTAATAAACAGTTAAATTGTACATTAATTTTATTATTCTTTTTCAGATAATTAATTTTTATAACTCGTTTAAAATCGTTAAGATTATTTAAGATCTATTGCATGTGTGATGTTAGGTAAATGAATTGGTAAAACAATTATTTTAAATAGGTTTAAATTTGTTGGCGAATCCTTCTACTTCTAGTTTAGGTTTATGTAATTATTAAGTGCAATTTCAATAAATTGTTTCACGTTAAGTAATTGTTTACAACTGAAGGACAACACATTTTTAAAAGCCACTAGCGCTTTGAAAGTTTTTTTTACAATTAAAAGAGATTATCCACTTTAATGAAAGTTTCATTAATACTTTTATTCATTGATAGTTTTCAAATTTTACAATCTCATTTTTTTGAAATGAATCTTCAACAGTTCATATTGTGCCAAAAATAATTGAAGAAGCAGTGGATCAATTATACATTTCAAAAACTTCAAAAATATGTCATAAGTGGTGTAAATAAACTAAGCTATCAATACTGTCAACTATCATAACAGCATGATAAGGATCAGTTCGTAAGGTGTTGTCATACAGGACCGGTTTTTGACTACATGCTGTACGACTCTATTCATCCAGTCAAAACGTCTTTCGTCACTTTGTCGCCATTTCTCTTGTCTCTAAGACTTTTTTAAACATAAACTTCTTTCAGTGCGAAAAAAATGAAACATTCTTCCTACAATTTTTAATTCTCTTTTTAGGCTTGTTTACTAAAATGTTCAAAATAATGCTTTATCTATTGTTTCAAAATTTGTTATTTTGTAAAGTACTAAAATTTGTAATCATCACATTTAGCTAATCCATCTTCAAAGTCAAATATCTTGTCTTTATAAACTATGCTAACGATGATTCTATTTCGAAGTTTAACAGAGTTATAGTTTTAAAGCATGACACATTAAGAGTTCATTAGAAATAGATATACTGGATTAGCATGAAATTTTTCAATGACTTTTAATAAGATGACTCCGAAATTCAATGGAAAGTTCAGTCCCATCTTCACATATACAGCTTTTGTATTAATCGCCTTATCAAATCGGTTGATTAACTTATCACCATATTTTATGGAGTAAATAAAATTGAGATTCAAATAAATGTTTAGTCATAGTTTTTGCTAAACACGGAAGTTCAAAATAATTTAGGATATCATATTCATCAATTTTTCATATTAATGAATTTGGTTTAGAAGATAAAAATATACATAGTAATAACAAAGACATGGGATGAATACAAATCGGGGTAACACACTTTAAAACGACACGCGAATTGTTTGCACTAAGGCCTTCCCACTTTCGGAGTGGATCTCTGTCACATATTTTTCCTTCCTGTCAGAAAAGGTTCATTTCATTTCATTTGCTTCATTTCATTCTGTTTTCAAGACACTTTCAAGCTATTTGTAGGAAGAAATTAATAAATAAACTTTTTTATCCCATCAATTTTTCATTATCTTTTGACTAAGTTCATTTGTCTACAGCACAACATGAATTTTATTGATTGTTATTAGGATATAATCATGAAGAAAACTTTCGGCCCAAGGAAATACTACTTCTTCCTACTAAAGACTCTTTCCTCTACAACGATCTAACTCTCTATTCTAAAGCAAAACATACTATTTAATTCGATTAATAATAAATTAATAAAATTATTCAATTAATTGATTTACTGAATCAGTGATTCTTATCAGTATTATCAACAGGATGGTCACACTTTTTCTTACTTTCTGCTTTTAACAGAATATTGTAAATAAAAAATGTCAATGTAATCTGTGTTCAAGTTTTTAAATTTTGTCATATTCTCAATCATCCACAGCAAATATTGCCCAAAAAACCCAAAATTCATAATGTTGCCAATTTCAAAATACTTTTAATGAATTTATCTTTTTGCTATCTCACTCACTGGATGCATAACTGTGTACAATTTACTCTTTTTCAGATTCCAAAACAGTAGTTTAAATTCCCCAAAAAGTGAAATAAATTTGTGGGGCACTAACAACACTCATTTGCGTTCTTTGATTCACAGTTTCCCAAAAAAAGGCAAAAATTCTTTTTCTCACTAAGAATTAGAAAGTAATGAATTAGATTATAATCATAAGAACAATTAATGTAATACTTATCAAAATGAAATGATTTGTTTTGCTTCTTTTGAGCTTTTGGAATGGAGGAGACTTACGCTATGGATGATGAAAGTTTGAAAATACAACTTTTTAATAGAATGCAATGTCTTCTTTGGAGGATGTAACTCTCCCCGCACTACCGGAAATAAATACAAAGGCTTTTCCGGAATGATATGATATTATCTTTTGGGAATATCGGTGAAGCATGACAAAAGCAAATGTTGAAATGATTTTATTTGCAATCAATTAATCAATCAATCAACCTATAAATCCCACCCCGCGTGAAATTATTAGTGTTTTTTTTTTTCACCACTTCTTTCATTAATATGAAATATTTTGATATAATTTTATCTGCTGACATATCAATAAACAAACAATCTTTTGTCACATCTAAAAAAACTTTCAAAATCGCTTAAGCTAACGAAACTGTCTAGTTGAACATTCCTAAATTTTTCAAATAGGTAGCAAATATCGATTGAGAAAATTAATTATCGGTTATCTAATTAATTGATGTTATTCGGTGAAAGATTTACAAAAGTTTTAACAATCATCAAGTAAATAAATGATTTCTGATTTATTTCATATTTATTTGCTAATCCAAGTATATGCTACAGATTTTTGATGCCTCCTTCTACTATATCGGAAAAAGACAAAGTTAACATTGCAAAATTACGAGAAGCTGTTAAAGATGAGGTACAGTACATTCTACTATTACTAGTTCATTAATTTATCATATAAATTTGATTTGATCATTAAGTTAGATTAATTTTAATACCAATTAATTGGATACGGTTTGAATCAATTTGGCAGAACATTTCGATCAGTAATTGTATGATATGAACAGGTAGTAGTAATAAAATGAATGGGATCTTAGTCACTTAATTCAAGTATTAAAAATGCTTTCATCTACATAGCAACCAAGTGTGTACTTGATTGGAATATAAAATTAATTAAGGTGTTAAAACTTTTGCTATCAATACTAGTAATAAAACGTTTGCTAGTACTTTTGCTAGTAATAAAACGTTCAGCTTACTCCATACTACGACACCGAATTCAACTTATTGCGATGGCTCCAAGGTCATAACTACAACTTTGACATTTTACTACCAAAATTAAGGAATCACTTACTCCTTCGAAAGTCAAAATGGGATTTGGACATGATGGCAAGCAAACCTCGTAATCATCCGTTACATACTTACTGGAAGGTACTTTAATACAATAACGCTGTGCAGATTATATTCCGCATGCTAAGTTCATTCTTTAATTCCTATGATAAAATTAATTCAATTGGTTCAATCTTTTCTGAAATTTCTCTTATGAAATATTTAGATTTGTAGTTATTGGTTGAACATTTATAAATTCCAGGCTGGTATAACTGGCCCAGCAATAAAAACTCCAAATGCTATTGTTAATATCGAGCAAACTGGACGAAATGATTACTGGGGAATGATACAGACATTCTCATTAAATGAAATTATGATGGCCAGAACTCAGGATCTTGAATTGTTGCTACGTGAAATAATGGAAATGGAGAAAAAAACTGGTAAACATATTTTTGGAAAATTACCAATGGTCATTTTTCTGAACATTCATATGGTATTTTAAATCAAAATGCTGCGTAATTATTTGCTTTAAATTTACATATATACAGAATTGATATTGAAATTCAATAACTGAACAAAGTGTAGTCAATATACCAATAAGCGATAGCTCATTTTACCAATCAAAATCAAATCACTTGCACTGCATTCTTGTATTAATCATTAACGCTGAATAGTGTAAGGTGATTTCACCAAATTAAAACTTTAATCTCCCATTAAAATGCAGGCCAACAAGCTTCCATTATATATGTGATGGATTTGACCGATTTGAAATATGACAAACGTTTGTTGACCTTAATGACTGGTCCGTTGGCCGGTATATCAGCATTTATGAGTGACCATTACGTAGAGATGATCCACAGATTTGTGCTCATCAATGCACCGCCATTCATGGCTTCTATCTGGTATATTATTCATCACTTGTTTTACTGATAAATGAAATGCTATTTCATTTATCTCTGACATCTCTGACATCCTACTGCTAATCAGTTTGTTTTTGTTAATGCAAGCAATAACAAGTGGATTGTGATGCTTCTGTTATAAATTCATCTGTTCATTTTTCAGGACAATCGTAAAACCGCTGCTACCAGAACGAACTCGGCAGAAAGTTTCTATATTTGGCTCAAATTGGAAAACCGAAATTCAAAATGTTGCTGTTCCAGAAGCATTGCCAGCATATTGGAATGATGACAAAATAAAGGTGCATCTCCTCAATAAGTTACATTTTCATATCTATGAGAAAAAAAAAATGATAGCTGGTAAATTAACCTAATCAGCTTGCTTTAGATAATTAACTATCAATTTATCTGTTTATTATTCCATATAGCGGACTTTTTCTGTCGTCCCCACAATTAAATTAAATTTTGAGAAATTTTTTAATATAAATGTACACCACTTGATGAATTGCAGATATTTAAAGCAGAATTAGAGCTTGCTAAAGCGCTCGATCCACAATATTATCATAAAAAAAAAGTTGATGAAAAGAGTAAAGTGTTATCAGTTGGTGCTGGAAAAACGGGTACAATTGATGTGAATGTTAAACAGGTATTTTTTTATCATTTTAAAATTGAATAACTTACGACAACTTTGACAAATAAAATTAGAATGCATAATTTAGGACTAAAAAAGAGCAGTGTGTACAGGTAGACGAATATTCACTTCTATATACATCTATCAAATACAAAAAATTTCCAGGGTTCTGTTATAAAATGGTGCATTCATGCTGATGGACATTTTGGATTCACTATTTTTTACGTCAAAGATCAGTCCTGTGAGAATTCCAATTCACTAATTAATGTTTATCCCTTATTAATGGTACGTATTAGTTGAAATCCGGTAAAAATAATATTAATCCTGGTGTTTGTATTGGATCGAGACTTAAAATATTTAAGTTTAAGTTAAAGTTTAGTTTAAGTTTATGTATTTCTTTTTTTGAATTTTGCGAATATTTAGCTCATTTAATTAAACGGAATTGTTTGAAGATTAGTCATTGTCTACTATTGTTCTACAATAAGTTCAAAGTAATACTGTAATAAAATGTAAAAGTGCAGTGAGAATGAAATATTCCGTAATCTTTCATATAATTAGAGTTAGTATCATTTAGAACATCACTTACTTCATCTTTGGTATTTAAAGTTAGATTGATATAGTTAGATAGAGGAAATTCTCACTCATACTGGAATTAAATTTCAGAAAATGCCTGGACCAACTGTGGTACCAATCAGGGAGGAAATTAAATGTAACAAAAGTGGCACATATAAAATTTGGTTTAGTAACGAACATGCATGGCTGCACACATTGAATATTCATTATGTGATCAATATTGAATCAGAAAATAAATAACTGTGATAATAATTCAGGTTGTTGTTATAATATAATACAGTTTTGCATTGCCTTGAAGAATAAATATTTTATAATTTGAACAAATCTCGGCGTCAAAGAAAGAAAAGAGAAAGGAGTTTGTTCGAGTAGAATATTAATTATTAATTATTAAAAATTATTCGAATATTTATTTTAATAAAAAACTGATGGAAAAATTATGTTTATTTCACTTTTTCATAGAATTTCCACATTTGTTCATTTAACTCTTTTATTTTCCTTTTATGTAATTTATTTTTCGAAAAAAGTATTAATGCCTTTTTTTTTGGAAAACTGTCATGATTTATTGGAAAATCAAATTAAAATAATTTTTTAGTCGTAGTTTTTATCGATTATGAAAATTTGAAGGTCTGTTTTTAAGGTACATCTTTTGCAGAACATTCGTTCTAATTTGAAACTATAAATAAATTTTTGAAATGACACTTTTATGAGATCTAATCATAATGGATGAAAAATAACAGACGTAACCATTGAATACACTCTATTAAGACATATTTAAAAAAACAAAAAACTTTATTCAGTTCATACCGAACAAAGTGTCACTTTTTCTTCTTTCACATATAAATGATTTTCTTGCAACTGTACGAAATATTTACAGAAGTTAAATACTTGGTGATTTGTTTTTAATCATATTATAAATAATAAAGTTCTCAGTGATCAAATTTCAACTGAACTCCAAATAGCAAAGAATGCCTTTCTATTCATTACCATATTTAATTTTTTTTTATCCTTCATTTAACTTGAATATATTTTCATTCACCATTTTTTTTTTTGAAGTCGTTAAAAATAATAATGCAACTCATTAACTTATATTTTTAAAAAGTTAATCCAATGGGTACTCTTCTTTCTATCTTACATTAATCAAATAGCTTTTGTATAATTTAGTATAGATTTTATCAGATTAAGTGATTTTTTTGGTCTTTTTAATAATTTGTCTGTTGATTTCCGTTTTCATGAAATACTCATCAGTAAATGAAAATGAGAAGTTTTCTTTACATCAAGTTTGAACTAAATGACCAAGTGGAAGGCAACTGGCAGAATCCAGACATAACAAACTTGATTAAGTCAGCAATATGTCCAGTATAACCTCATTAAGGTTTCTCGAGATCATATCGGGAATAAAAACATTTCACTTCTTTCTGTGGAGATATCAATGATTCAAATCATTCACCAAACATTCTTTGCCTCATTTTTACTTCTCCAAACTTTCACAGTTCATTTCATCAGAACCAAGTATCAGAATTATTTGTTTCGTCTTTCTCAATTGCCCTTTTCTTGTCTTTTCACTCTTTCTCTCTTTTTTCCTCCTATTTCTAGAAAGAGTTGACTCTATAATTTTGATTTGTTATTTCACTAATAACAAAGCCTTAATTGGAAAAATCAAAATAATGAATAATTAAATAGATTTAAGTAAATAAGTTCATTCAAAAGTGTTTTCGTATCCTATTAATGTTTTGCTGAAAATTTCTTCTCTCCAGATCGATATCTCCTCCAGACTTTCTTCCAAATCAGCACTCCTTTGAGATCAGCACTCCTCCAGATCATCCGATCAGCACTCCCTTCAGATTTTTTTCAACGACCTTATTCTCGAAATCATACTTTTATTAAGTACTGCTGAAGATACGAACACAGCTACCAGGCTGTGCCATCATCATTTTGCAACTGTTTGTGAATAATTAATAACTGCGTAAACGGTATTACTGATTTTCGCATCTAATTTCATCGTTCATCGATTGATTATTGATTGCAGAGAATGATTCATTACAAATATTTTCTTTTTTCGATAATTCCTTGCTTTTTTATAACAATTTTGAATTCAATATTTGTTATGGTATTAATACATCATCATCATCATCATTAATTAGAGTTTAGTGAGATCTTTGCCTTTGTTTACCAAGTTTTAGAAAGGGGAAGGAGGAACTAAATTCTTATTTACGACACTTTAATTTCAAATATATCTTTCCAATATACATTTCGGTAATTAAGTAAAAAGTCCAAAGAATTTAATCGTTTTTTTGAGCAACTCTTTCCGGATGGCTAATTTCCGACTTTTAATATAACTTTGATGACTTTCTCAAATATTGTAAAACTTGAAAAGTTTTTTAACTCTGAGCTTAATCTCGTGGACAAGTAATTACTAACAGTAAGAATAAAAATGAAATTCCAACTATAAGTTTAAATTTGCCACAGTTTATCCCATTTCCATTTCTCATGAAATGTTGTCAACGGCACTTTTGAATTGATCATTCATTTGGAAGACTTAACAACATCGATGATATTTTTAAAACAAAGAAAAAAGTACATCAACATGTTTACAGCTTTACCGAGAAAAAACGAATTGATTCATTCGTCGTGGCATTTTGATTAGGAAATTTGATAATGAAGAAAAAAAAAAAGATTTTTCAAGAATTGACTTTCTTACTTTTATAAAATGATACGCAAATCGATAGTGCCTTTCATACTAAATTACTAATTAGTTTAGAAAGTGCTGCTGAAACCCATTAACACTTGAAAATGAAATTGCACATTTGAAAACAAAATTTAAGATATAATTCTTAGCATAAAAACTGTTTTGTATTATCACTGATTACAATAATTAATTTTCTCTTTATGATTTAATTATATAAATGAAAGAAATCGTAAAGTAGAATTGATTGTTTTTTAAATTCCAATTTCTTTATTTCGCTTTTTTAAATCAACGATTTTGAAAACATTTATTTACATGCATAATTTTTTATAAAAAAATTAATTCCTTTTTGCATTCATTTTATATCAGTTATTGTTTAGATGTATTTTTCCATCTAGAAATGTGAATTTTCACCTTTTATGCTTAGTCTTATTTGCAAGCTCAATTTACTTACTTTTTCTCTTCTTTCTTTATGGCAAGCTTTATCTTCGGGAAATGTTGAATTTCCTGGGAAAAGTTCAAAAGATAATGTAGTGACACAATTTCTAGCATTTCAATTTAAATGATTCTTTTAATAGCAAATAATTGTTTCCAGTAAAATTTTCTGCAAAACCGAGAAACCTACCAATTAAAAAAAAAAAAATTTCGTTCGACTTATGTCTTTTTCTTAGAAGACTGAGGTAAATGGAATGATTTAAGAAGATAACTGGAATTGTTCATCTTCAACGATGATAATTTCTTGATTTATATATATATATATTTCAGCAATAGCAAAGTATTTGTTTCATTTTTTTCTTTTTGATTAATTATAGTATTCGTTGAATAGTGGCAACAAAAAATGCTTTCTTATTTCATTAATTAGTCGAAAAGATTTTAAAGTGTCAGAATGATGATGTAATGGACATATAATAGCTTGCAGATGAACATTTTTTAAGTCTGTGACAGAGACATCATTAGAATGTATTATTAATTATTAGATTATTAAATTCCACATTAGCTGGAGATCAATAATAAGCTTTTATTGAAAAAAAAAAAAATATAAAAACATCAATCTGATATAACCCTTGCATTAAAACTTTATCTGATTGAACTTTCGAAGTGAAAAAAAGTATATCAGCAATCATATACAATGTAATATTTTCCGTAGACTGAATTAATCAGATCAGATCTAATCGAATGTTTAAATCTAGCCTAACTTTGGCATTACTAATGCTTTTCACAGACATACAGCAGCATCACTTGAATAACATGAAAATGGAGATAAAATTTTAAAGTATGATAGAATAAAAATGTCATTTTAGGAAATTTAAAAATAATGTAGGGAGAAATTCATTCACCTTTTTTACGTCATTTTTGTTTCTTACCAAATTCTGCTCTGCTTAAAAGACATTTTTGGAGCATAAGTTATTACCGAAGGCGATGAAATCAGATTTATTTCCATTACACTATGCGGAAATGTCTTAGAGGTCGATCGGACAGGTGCAGCAGTTTCATTAAATTCACAGTAGGCAAATTTAGTTCTCCTTTCTTCTTTTTCATTCATTATATTTATTTCAATACGATGACTAAAAAGATCTCTGGGAAAAGTCGCCTTCGAAATGTAAAAAAAAAAAGAAGTGAACTCTCATGTCTAATAAAATGGCTTGTATTTTTGTTTGAATAAGGAAATTCTTTTCACTTATTGAATTCACAATTGTTTCTGATAACAAAAGTATATTTCACTTAATTTGTCAAGAATGGTCACAAAGTCTTAACAGTATCAAAAGTCAAAGAATCTACGAAAAACAATTTTGAATGTTTCAGCTGAATTCCCTCTTTCCTTTTTTCAGTTTTTTAATGAGCAAGGACGCTTATTGTCAAATCCTATCAGAGATGAGAAATACACTTATCGACCTTAACGTTGAGCTCCTTGACAGGAATCGCTTTGCTATCAAATTCCATTTGCAGTCTAATTCTTTTAGAGAAAAGCCATTGCACTGTTAGTAACTTCCATTAGTATCTTTCAGAAATTCTTCCAAATATTCATTTAGTTATTCCTTGGAAAGACTAATTGCCACATCTGTATATATGTTCCAGCAGTCAAATGAAGGGTAAAGTCCAAAATATGATTTCATTCTAAATGAATTTTAAAATCACAACAAATTTTGCGATTTTAACCATCTGCTGCTTCTGACCAGTTCTCGCCTTTCTGTGAGAAACAAATTGTTTAGACTTTCAAATAAATCATTCAGATCCATTTGTCGCCTTCTCGCCAACAACCGCTAACAAATCATTTTCATTTTACATTTTGAACACATTTGTCGAGATTATATGTAATTTCTTTCGAAGCTTTTTTTCCACTAAAGATCAAATTGATTATATAATTCAGTTCTCTTCTGGTAAGCTAAACTCTTTGTCGGTACTTGCAGAGATAATCCTACGATAAATATCCTTTGTAATCTTAGCATATCTACTCTTATTCACAGGTGATTTTCTTAGCAATGAAATTTGAATCATTGCAAAGTAATTATTAACTTTGGTTCTGTTTGCAATATATTCGCAAAGATGAGATGATACT